GTTGTAATACGATTTGTAGGATGTAGAGGCCAGAATTGGGAGCTACATAACATGTGATAATGTATGTAGGCTGCAAAGATAGGAGTTGGGTTTTGTATGAGATATGATAACATTCGTAGGCCACAAAATTAAAAGTTGGGAGCTGCACGAGCCGTGATAACATTTGTAGGTTGCAGATGCTGGATTTGGGAGTTAATTAAGTTGTGAGCCGCATAGACCGTAGGTGGTCACATAGGTCGTAATGTGGAGCTGTAATAATGTTTGTAGGCTACTAAGGTCGGAGTAGGGAATTATGTAAGATGTGAGCCGCGTAGGCCGTAGTTTGTCACATATATTATAGCAGAGAGTTGTAATAACCTCAGTAAGCTATATAGGTTAGAATTGGGAGATGTGTGAGTTGTGATAACGTATGTAGGTCACATATGCCAGAGTTAGGAGTTACATGTGTTATGATAACGTCCTTAGGTCGCAAAAATCGGAGTTGGGAGCTGCATGAGCTGTGATGTTGTCTGCAGACCATATAGGCTAGAGTTAGAGCTATATGATCTGTGATAATGTTCCTAGGCCACAAAAGTCAGAACTGGGAGTTGCATGAGTTGTGATAATGTCTCTAGACCATAGAGGCTGGAGTTGGAAGCTGTATGAGTTGTGATAACGTCCATGGGTCACAAAAGCTCGAGTTGGGAGTTGCATGAGTTGTGAACCAAGTTAGTCATAGTGCAAGATAAGTTGTGTTCTTACACTATCTTTGGGATGCATCGTTACATGGTATGTGAAGTGAGTCTTTGCACTATATTTGAGGTGTGTTGTTATACCGCCTTCATAGTGTCTCTTTACATCATATTTAGGGTGTGTCACTATACCATCTTCAAGTAGTGTCCTTGCACTGCTCCAAATGGTACTTTGTCACTCCACAATATACATTAGGATTTCGTAGTAATTCCACAAGGGGCTTTATTGCAATGAGCGAGTGGCGTTTGTTGGACATTTGGTGCAAAGCATTAGACCTCAGTTCCTTCTTCAAGCTCTAGTCTTTCTCTGGTTTAAGGTTTATTTTTTCTCTCATGAAGGGGTAGGGCTTTATTTGTAGAGTGAGAGAGGTCACCCTATAAATAAGGAAAAAATCTGGACTACTCAATCAGACGTACTGTAGAGATTCCCTCATTTGAATGACATTTTGTGAACAATTGACTGACTCAACGATGCCGAAATTGAGTAATCTTGGGTTCATTGGATTGATCTCGTTAAGAAGTTTGATTCGATTATAAGTTTGTCAGAATTAAAATCTATTTGACCTTTTAATTGGGAACCATAAGCTTTCAAAAATGGTTTAACAGCTTGATATGAGCTTTATTTGATCAAGATTTGATCATTTTTGTTGTCATTGTGTTAGTCTCGTCGAAATGATTAGTTTGATTATTTGATAAAACTAGAGTTATGGTTGTTATTTGATTGAAGTTTGAGTGTTCCTGCTAACCTCATTTTTTAATGAGGTTCATCCTCTCTCTAGATGTCTAGGGTTTAACTTTAGAATTTTCCTAACAGCGCTCTTAGAGGACTAGTGAAGTTACCAACATCCATATCAGACTTGAAACAAATCTTCACTCCCTAGGGTTTCAAATACTAGACATACTAAACTTTTGGTTGAGATGATTAGGGTTTAGTCATTAAAGCTCAAGTTGAGTTCCTATAAGATAAAAAATGCCCTAAGAGACCCCTTTGACCCTAAAAGGCTTAGGTTTTACTCTAGTGGGCTACAACAATATAACATCAGTATTCCACATAATTGTCATCAGCATTCATCCAGCTCTACAACAACTACCCTCCGACAACAGGATCACCTGCTCCACTACTTACTTGCAATATTACAATTCTCCACCTCTTTAAATCATATGCCTCACCCAAGTGTTAATTTCATCTTTTAAGAATTTTTCTTGTATATATAGAAACACTTACTATTTAAATGGATTAAGAAGGAATGTCTATTAGCTACTTTGCATATGTCTTCCTTTGTTTTCTTGTACTGTAAGCTGCACCTGTAACTTATCTTCAATGTATGTAATGTATTGAACTTCTCATGGTATCAGAGCCAACTTACCACCCACCTACTCCACCATGTATCTTCATTGGATACTCTCCCTCTCACAAAGGCTACCATTGCTACAACCCACAAACTCATCTTACCATTGTCTCTCACCATGTTGTCTTCAATGAGCAAATTATTCCCTTTCAAACCATCAAATAAATCTCCTCCCATAATTCCTCCTCTTCTCACTCCATCCACCCTTCCTCCAACAACTACACTGACCATATCAAGTGCAAACACTCTATGACAACCATATCCAAAATCGGGTCACTAAAACCGAAGCAAATACTCAACCTTACCACTTCCCTCTCCAACAGTGTTGATCCTACCTCTTATACTCAAGTCGTCAAACATAGTCATTGAAGGCAAGCTATGTCTTTAGAATTTCAAGCTCTTCATAAGCAAGGCACTTAGATCTTGGTAGATCCACCACTCCACCAAAACATTAGCTGTTGTAAATGGACCTACCAAACCAAGTACAATTCTAATAGAACGATAGCCAAGTATAAGGCGTGTATCGTCACCTAAGGCTTCAAACAACAAGAGGGCATAGACTACCTTGCTACATTCAACCCCGTGCCAAACTAACCATGATCCGTATTCTTCTCACCATGGCTCTTCAAAACAAGTGGCAAATCAACTTAATGTCACTAAGGCCTTCCTCCATGGACCATTGGAAGAAACCATTTATATGTCCCAACCTCAATGTTTTTGTGATCAACAATACCCACATAAAGTATGATTGCTGAAAAAGGCTCTCTACGAACTAAAAAAAAAAAAAACGCCCCAACAGTGGTATCACACACTCGTCACTTACCTCCAAACACGACCATTTTGCATCAACACCGTCGATCCATCCTTCCTCATCTACTAGAACCTTTCGGTTATTCTCTACTGTCTTGTTTATGTTGAAGACATCCTCATATCAGGTAATGATCAAAATATCATCAACAACCTTATCCTTGATCTCCAAACTACATTCAAGCTAAATTTTTGGGTTCGGTAAGCACGTTCCCTGGCATCACCATTCAAACCACCCCTCATGGTTATCATTTTTCTCAAACTCCCTACATTAACTCCCTCCGACAACAACTTGACATGCTAACTTGCAAACTAGTTCTTGCCTCACAAACTACAACCCGATCCTAAATCCATTCATGTGAATCCCGAACCTAACCAATACCGTCAACTTGTCGGCTCACTTAAATACTTAACCATCACTCAACTTGACATTGCATTCATCGTTAACTACATATGCCAACAAATGCACAACCCATTTGTCTATCATTTTCAAATCCTCAAACACCTCCTCCACTACCTATAGGGCACCTTGCATTTTGGTCTCCCACTTGTCAAGGGTAATCTTCACCTTACCAACTACTCAGATTTTCATTGGGTCGGGGATTCCACCGATTGATGCTCTACTATAGGTTTTTGTACTTTCCTTGGTAATAATCTCATAGCTTGGGCAGTTCAACGTCAGAAAACTGTAGCACATTCCTCTACTGAAATTGAATATCGAGCCCTAATTGCTGCTACCATTGACATCATATGGCTTCGCCGACTACTTCAAGAGTTTCAAATCTCCCTCAACACTCCAACAATCATCTATCGTGACAATACTTCTGCTATGTCATAACACTTAATCTAGTATTCCATACCCACACCAAGCTTGTGGAAATGGATTACAACTTCATATGCGATCACATCTCTTTCGACAACATTCAGATTTCTCGTATCATCTCTCATGATCATATAGCTGATATTTTCACCAAAAGTCACACTGCCACTCAATTCGGCAAACTCTGGAGCAAACTCATAATCAGTCCATCCCATTACAAGTTTGAGGGGGAGTAACAGTGCCATTCCACATAATTGCCGGCTGCACTCCTCGAGCTCTACCGCAACTACCCTCTGAAAACAGGATCACCTGCTTCACCACTTGCAATATTATGATTCTCCACCTCTTTAAATCATATGCCTCGCCCAAGTGTTAATTTCACCTTTTATAAAATTCTTCCTGTATGTATAGAAACACTTACTGTTTAAATGGATTCTGAAGGAACGTCTATTAGCTGCGTTGTATATATCTTCCTCTGTTTTCCTGCACCCTAAGCTGCACCTGTAGCTTATCTTCAATGGAGGTAATGTGTAGCACTTCTCATGGTGGGGTTAGTGGGTAGATGTGATAGGTTTCGAAGCAACTGCCAGCGGCCACTGGTGGCGCTGCAGTTTTTTGGCTATCAGGTTTCACAAATGGAGGTGGAGTCGAGGATATTCTTCTATAGGGTGACATTCCATTTTCAAGTATCATCGTGGTTTACAATAGAGGAAGAGCATAGAAGCGAACATAAAGAACGAAGAGGAATATGATGCCAAAGAAATCAAAGAAAAGGAAGACAAGTAGCATCAACATAGTGGAGGAACAAACTATCATTTTTATTTCAAAGAACGAGCTATATGCCCTGTTTATAAACTTAGAAGAATCAGCCATGCAAGAAAAGAAACAGAAACTAGTAAGAACAAACCTAGGTGAGTTAATATTATTCTTCTCCTAAAGACAATTAGAAACAAATTATCGACCTGAATCAAATGGCCAAGGCGCTTTCTTGGACTAGACACAGCAGGAACGGCAAGGAACCAAAGCTTCGAAGGCAAAGGTAATAATAGTTGGCACCATATGCTAATGATCAAATTTAGTTGGCAGCCAAAAAGAGTGCGTTATATTCTTCTTGCAAGGGTTTTAAGAAAATTAAGTGTTTGGTGGAATGCAAAATAAATGAAGTGCAAAATTTCAATGTATTAAGAATTCACTTTCTAGTTCACTTACAAAGTATTTGGAATTCGCTGGATTGAATAAATTTCAATTACACTGTTTTGTGTAAATTGACGCCGCTACCACTTGTTGCCACCCGCGCCGCCGCCAACAACAGCTACCGACTGTTGTTGCCAGCTGCCACTGTCACCCAATTGGCTACCACTGCCAGTCACAGCCACAACACCCAATCGCCGCCAACCGCCCCTGCCAGCCACCGACCTTAACGAGTTTTTCTTTTACATTTAATTTATTTTTCTTCAAACCAAACAAGAAAATATAAAATACTGCATTTATTTCATACTAAATAAAACAACTCTAAAACATTTCAAATATAATATATTACTTCAATAGTGCATTCTTTATGCACTTGAGTCATTCTTCAACAAAACAAACAGTACAACAAGAAGAAGAAGAAGTATCCCACTAAATAGGGCCACCTAAATGAATCCTTTTTCTCCATTGTGTCCTATTGAGTGCCATATTTTCACTTAATTCTAATAGATTAAAATCATTTCTATATAATTTGCCCAATTCTTTTAAGGTCTACCTCTACCTTACTTAATATAAGTAGAATCCAAAGCATCTACTCTCCTAATAAGATCATCAAATGATCGTGTTTAATGTGACAAAACCATCTAAGACGACTCTTTATAATCTTGTCTGCCGCTGGAGCTACACCACAACCTTAGCACAGACATATTCATTTAGCACTTTGTCTCTAAGTGTCAAGCCACTCATATCAACAACACTTAACTTTGTTTTATGCTTCTCTTCTAAAGGCCAACATTTTGTGCCATAGAGCATTGTAGGTCTCACCACCATCTTATAAAATGTTCCTTTTGTCTGAGCGTTACTTTTCTATCACACAATAGGCCCGATGCATTCCTCCACTTCAACCAACCAACTTGAAACAGCAGAACAAACAGTAGGAAAAAAATATTTACAATATCTCCTGACTAATCCTACAGAAACAGCAATTCATGTTATGTTAAACTAAATACAAGAGATTAAGGTTGAAACAGCAATTCATTTTTATGTTAATGAAACCCCTAAAAATGCTAACCTGAATTCAGTTACCAGTATTCCGCACAAGAGCAAGCCCCATTTCTGAAATGATGAAAGCGGCTTGCATCCCTCACAACAATCTCCCTTCTGGTGACAATAGTAATAAGCTTAATTATACAATGACAGTCATTGCAGACCCTGTGACCCTGTAACACTTGCAGAGGGGTGAAGTCTGGCGTGTTGATCAGCCCAAAACTAATTGCCAATATCTCACTATGAAAATGCAAAATTATTTGGTCATGTTCCAACACATCAGGAAATAAACATCTCCTTTGAGGAAGATAGCCTTCTTTAACAATCTCCTCCATCAATGCATCAACCCTTTTATAGATCTCTTCACTCTGTGGATGGGATTTGTCTCCAAAAAGAAACCTATGGGGTTGCTTCTTGATCTCGATCCAGCTACAAGCAGGAACAAGTCTAAGTCCTTTCCTCGCTAAAGAATCCAAAACCTTGGCAGCATCATTCATTCTCCCACTGCTGTTATAAAGATTTAGGAGTACAATGTAATTCCCCAACTTCTCTGGTTCCATCCCGAAAAGCTTCTCAGCTGCTAGTTTTCCAAGTTCAAGGTTCCTGTGAAATCTACAAGCCCTAAACAATGCTGCCCACATGTTTGTGGTCAGGCTGAAAGGAGCGTTTTTTATAAGAGCCAATGCTTCATCCAAAAGACCCTCTCGTCCCAGCAGTTCTATCATGCAGGCATAATGCATTGCCCGTGGCTTCGTCTTGGGATCTCGAGCCATCAATTCAAAGATTTCTCTCCCTTTGCTTAACAGTCCAGAATAGCTACAAGCACCTAAGACTGCAAGAAAGGTCACATGGTTTGGAATTATTCCTTCCTTCAGCAAACTCTCAAACACTGCCACAGCCTCAGCTCCCATACCATGATTCCCATAACCTCCTATCAAAGCATTCCAAGATATCAAATTTCTACGAGACATCTTATCAAAAACATGCCTTGCATCATCCATTCTCCCCCATTTGCAATACAAATCAACGAGAGCAGTACATGCAACAGTATCCGTGCCAAACCCGTTTCTAACCAATCCAGCGTGAGCTTGCTTGCCTTGCTCTAGTAAACCCAACCGAGCACAGATTCTGATGATGATAGAATAAGTGAAATGATCCATCTTTACATTGGAGTTTTGCATCTGATAGTACAACTCAAGAGCTTCTTCACTGTAACCATTTAAAGCATATCCGGCTATCATTGAATTCCATCCCACAACATGCTTGTCAGGCATCCAATCAAACACCTGGCGGGCATCATTAATGCATCCACACTTGCCATACATGTCAATAAGAGCACAAGACACAAATAAGTTATAAAAAAGGCCTGCTTTAAAAGCAAAAGAATGTAACTGAACGCCGGCAGCCAGTGAGGCCAACCCTGCTGCAGCTCTTATGGAAGTTGCCAACCCACGGGAGCCAACATCTATTTGATCCTCCCATATAATCAGAAACATCTCAAGCGCCTCATCATAGGAGCCTGCATCAACCAGGCCTGAAATCATGGTGTTCCACGACACTGAATTTTTTTGCGGCATGTCATCGAACAAGCGGCGTGCATGCACTATCATTCCACATTTCATGTGCATCAGAAGGACCCTATTCATCATGTACTGATCAAAATCAAATTCACATTCCATCATGTGGCGGAAGATGGATCGAGCAACCGTTGCGGATTTGAGGCTGATGGAAGCTGTGACCAGAGAATCGTAAGTGCTGGCGCCAATTGCTTCGGAGCTGCCATTACCTCGCCCACTCAATTCCAGGACCTCAAATAGCTCGATGGCTGCTTTGTACTTCTTAAAGAAGACCAGCCTCTCAATTCGATGACAAAGAGCTGAGGGGAGAGGATGGATGATGCAATTATTGTTGGACTTGTTGGAACCTTGTTCCAGGTCGGGAGAATCACTGACGGGCATGAGCTTCATTGTCGGCCTTGGTTTCAAATCTTGCTCCATTGACGAGCATCGGACGATCGAATAAGATCTTTTTCTCTTGGTGGGGAGAAGAATATAGCAACCTTGTATGGATCTATAGCATGAATTGGTCTTTTTCTCAGTGTAGCCCTCCGCCGTAGCCGACAATGAATGAAACGGCGAAAATAGAAGCTTCAAGCCATGACTGGATGGCAAATTACAAGGAAGGATGAGAATAGCATCCATTGGAGCGATATCGGCGAGAATATGACAGAATAATTTCGCTCTTCGAGAGAAATCAGAGCATGGAGAAGGCCACAAGCTTTGGGCGAGAAGAATTGGGAGGGTTTCCTTCTATTTTGGAGGGTGGCTGTTCCGAGCATTGGGAGATCCGTCACCTTTCCGGGTTGTCGACGAACTTGAATTATGGCTCTCTGTCAACCGTCAAATATGACTTTATTGACCAACCAAGGAAATGTGATCCGTCAATAATAGAGTTATTTCAACAACTATTTTACATGTAATTTTATTTGAATACAAATTTATCAAAATTTATTTCAGATAAAAATATTTTTATGCATGTTTTTTAAAGGTGGTCATATATATTGCGGCGATCGTCTTATCATTCCACCACGAGGAGCATATGTGTTATTGTTTTTCGCCCTGCTTCTATTTGTCTAGTTGTGATCCAAACATGTTCGAGTATTGGAAAAAACGTATCAGCCAAAATAAAGATGATTATCTCGACAAGATATTCTTTTCATTCTAACTCGATTTTGGGTTTACATTGTCATACAAGTTTTTCCTACTTTATGTATATATAATAGATTAATTTATTTTTGTGTTTAGGTTCCCTAAAAAGATAAGTCTCTAGAGTTAATTACATCATAGAAAATGTTATCTATTAGGGAAACTCTCAGCTAAAATAATGGCTCTCTTATTTTTACTTATCACACAGTTTGATTCCAAGGCTGTTAATTTTGAATTCAAGGGATTATATCAAAATGAAGTAGTTCTTATCAGAAGCTAAAGAAGAAAGGGTATGAACCACCAAATGTTAAGAATTTATATAATGTTTCACGAAATGATATGATTGAGCTTAAAGCTTTGGAAGTTGACATTAATTTTAGGTTTAAGTTGTCTAATTCAGTAGAGATTTAAGGCTTATAATCTAATGATACGAGATCGTGGAAATGCTTTAGAGATGACTTATCCTATAACAAAGAGCTAATAAGACTGTCTTTAAATCTATATTAAGATGAGCTTTACTGATATATATTTGGAAGCTTAAATATAGTATAAAAAGGCAAAAATGGGACTTATAGACTTCTCTCCCACTAAGAAGTGAAGTCTAACCCGACTCTTCTAGGGTTACAACTACTCCTTGAGATGGTTGCCAACTAACCCACATACACTTCAAGACTAAGAGGCCAGTCTCGTGCAAAAGTAGATGTGAAGGGTTATCATTAATCAGAATGATTATGTTGAGGTTTATGTCTCAATTCTAATGTTTGAGCGACCTAAGTATATATGCACCTATCTAATAAAAAAGTTTTATGATTTAAATTAATAATATTTTAGCTAGATTGATTTTGGTATTAAAGGACATTGATGTGCTATCTAATGTATGAATACATGCTTGGAAAGTCAATTAATGTCTAATCAAGTGTAATTGACAGCTTTGCCTAAGAAATATTATCATCCTCACCAGTCAGTTGCCCCTCTTAGTACAATGGGTAGAGTGTAAAGCAAAGGAGTGTGCCAATATACAATGCATATGGTATAGTTTCTCTTATGATTTCTACTTAATTATATTGATTATTTTTCTATGTGTATTGATTTTATTTTTTATTTTTGAATTATTTCAAAATTTTAAGTTTAATTGTAAATATGTTTTACCAGTTATTTTTACTAATTTATCAGAGATTGACACTTGAGAAAGGGTTTTGTTGATGTTGTGTTGGTTATAGGTGTCAAACATGCAAAATGAAGTCAAAACATGCAATATTCTGGCATCATCATGCCAGAGATGGCTTAACCACACTAGCTTTGGGCATTACCACGCAAGTTTCGGGTGTGATCATGCCATTTTCTAGCATGACCACACTAGTTTTTGGCATGACCACGTCGTCAGACATTCAAAACCCTTATTTCACACTATTCCTTGCCTATTTTGGACCTATTGACAAATTTAGAGAGTTTGTATATCTATTTTGGATTCTTAATGTAAAACCTAACTATAAAAACTTAATTTTTTTCATGAGTGAAGGTCTTCTTGGCCTCTTCTTGGCTTCAAAAAAAATTCTGGAGTAGAGAAAAGTTAAAGGCTGCTAGTGGCAGGGATTAAGGTGAATTTGAGTGCTTTCTTGAAGGTCTTCTTCTTCCTTTGGTTGAAAACATCAAGGGTGAGTTATTTCTCTGTATTGTGAGTTGTGAGGGATTATTGTATGAGAGAATTGATTTATACTATTGTGGAGAAGATAATTTGTTGAATGTTTAGCATATTTATGTTTCTTGCAATGAAATCTTGTATAGTATTCCTTGTGATTTTCTCGATGATGCGTGGCTAATTTCTTTTTCATGTCTCTGTGATATAGGGGTAGTGGATTTAATTATAGTTTTTATGAAATACTTTTCAGTTAGTATTTTCTTTATGCTTTCATGACTTATGTTGTTGCTTAATTTATGAACGTTTACTCTTAGTCTAGCCAACTAGGAAGTTAAAGTATTTTGTGATACAATGACCTCTAACATTTGCGTAGTGGAAACGGAGGGTTAACCACATAATTCTTAGATGATAGAAATATTCCAATTTAATTTTTTAATTATTTTAGGGGATCAGAAAAAAAAAGCCCGAACTTCATAGATTTTAGGCTTTCATTAACCTAGACATAGACATAAGAAGTAAAATATCTCCGATTGACAACAATCAAGCAGGAAAACATTTAGAAAAATCTTGATAACCACAATCCTCAAATAAAAAAGGTACAAGCCTCATCATTCCTGAAGGAACTCACAAGATCCTTTCCGTTGTTTCTATTTTTTTTGTTTTCTGCAATTTACTTTTTTTTTTTTTTGCTAGAATCTTAGGTGCTAGAATCTTAGGACTTTTACGGACTTTTACTTCTTTCACAATCACACCAAGCTAAATTCACTAAATTAGTAAACTAGATTTTTTTCTACATAAATAATTATTAAGACTTTCCTCGTGGGATCGATACGCATACTCTTAAAATGCATACTACTTGGAACGTGCACTCGCATTGTATGACCAACATACTTTGTGATAAGTTTTGGTGTGTCAATTATCTTTGAGAAAAAGAAATTTATTAGAACAAATTGTGTATTTTTAAATTTAGAACAACTTTTTGTTGAAGTTCAGAGTTGATTTGAAGCCATTTTGATGGAGTTATGATCAAATTATCATTTTACAATTGAAATTATCATATTTTCTCTCCTGATTGTCGTATCAAAAGGTACCCAAACGGGCTCATTAGATAGATTTCGATGACATGGATGCAATGGAAAAGTTTGTTTTAAAAAATAATGACTCATTGAAAAAATTTTATGCTGGACTAATTTTCATGCATGGGAACCCTAAGTGCACAATTCTACATAAAAATTATGTTTGCCACCAAAATTATTTACATGTTTTTCATATTTGAATACAAATATCATTCAACTTATAGGATGTAATTTGGATAAGTGGATTTACTTGTGAAAGAAAATAATAATTTTAAGTTCTACGACGATAATCATCATCCATGAAAATTTAACTTGAAAATTTTCACATAAAATTTATTCCAATTGATGTTCATCTACATCATCTTTATTGGTGACAATGAGCCTCATGTAACTTTCAGAATAAGGTTTTGAGTCTTATAATAGCCTAGGGAGAGAAAATAATTTTCTCAGAGTTTCGATCGTTAAGGCTCATTTTAGGGTTATCTCTGAAGTTAGTTAGATTGATTATGTTTGATGATGGTTTTGGCTTCTTTTTGATTTTATTGAGTTGAAAATTAAACTTTCTTAAATTAGGGGATACTTAAGACCAAAATCAACTAAAGTCCAATTAAGCTCAAGCCAGTGAAATACGGTTGACCAAAAATGAGGTTAACATGCCACTTGGACCATCTAAGAACCGCATTGAGGGCCTTTTATCCTTAACATATTGAAGGGGGCTCCTCATGTAACTGAGACCATCTGAGGAGCATATTCTTCAAATTCTTCCTCCTTAACCGTATGATCCATTAAGAATGATGATTGTTTGACATCTCTGGGTGCGGGTAAAATCCTGATCGCTGCAACACGACCGATCAACTTACTTTTCAGGAAGTTGGGAAAAGTGTAACGAGAAACATAAATTCTAGCATATTTCAGGGCATCATAACTTCCTATTTCCTCATAGGTGAGCTTCAAAGTGTCTAACATCTCCCTTCCCAAATACTGCATCTCAGTGGAAATGTTCCAGTCACTCTAATTGTGAATGAAGTTAAGACGCCTCCTCCACTCAGTCAACATTTTGTTAGGCAAACTGACTTTCTTCAATGAAGTGGAAAACATGACCAGACTATTGCTATGTGTCTTCACCTTAAAAACATGACAAAATAAATTCATCGACCAAAAGAGACCTCTCGCATGAGCATGCATTATAACTACTATTACGATAGCTATCAAATTGGAGCTTATGCATACTAGAATGTGCCCAAAAAAATTCAAAATGTCAACTAACTCTGCACACAAGGGAAAATGAAGACTAGCATGGAATTACTTGATGAAGAAATATATCTCATGTTCATACACAATATCATAAGTTTCATCTTTTCTCACATCTCTTAAGATCATGACAACGTTAAATATAAACTCTGACTAAGCTCTAGCAGCCTCGTATTCTTATGCCCGTAACCTCCCTAAATCTTAGCCAGCGGGAGGGAGCTTCCTTTATTTCCATGACCAAACTCCATCGACATGTTCTAAGGAAAAGTACATACTCAAAAAACTCTTATAAGACAAAGGAAGTCAGAGTGACTAAGACAAAGAGTTGTATTCTCTTAGATAAAAATCACGAGAAGTACAATACAAATTCAAAAAAGAACTATTAAATACAGAACGTAAACAAAGAAGAGGAAGCAAAAAATAAAAACAAAAAAGCAACGTCCGAAGAAGTCCTTTTTTTCATTCCAAGAACGGAAAAGTACAACTTAGATGAAATAACTGAATACATAAATCATATAACTAGATACACATTCAAACATAAGAATGAAATGTCATTTTTTGCAGATATCTTCCATGCTAATGGCTTCCGAGTTGAAGATGTGTCAGAGTATCTCACAGTTACTAGCTAGAATTGCTAACTCTGAATGTTTCTTGATAAATGTAAATTTAGCTTTCATGGCCTCAACCTCCTTTTCAAATTGTTGACATGAAGTAGAATTTGCTTCCATCATTTGGAGAATCAAAATGACCCCCCTCTAAAAATCGGCTCTTTGTTCTTGGTGCCTCTAATCCACGAACAATTCTTTAGCCTCCAATTTAGCGATATGACCTCGAGCCTCCACCATTTCGCCTTTCAAATAATCCTCATACACCTATCTATCTCTTAGATAAGAGAAGATATATATCGTACGATCAATGCTCAATGGACCTCGCTCTACCTGATCAATGATCTCCGCTACAATTGGGTCAAGTTCTTTAGTATCATTCATAGTATGTTCTTCTCTTTCCAAGAGCCCACAAACCTCTATCCTTTCAACTCCTAGCCGTCTTGCCTCTTGGTACGACTACTCCCCCAAAAACATCAATTTGTCAAATTCATCAATGAATACAACTCAGGACGGACAAGATTGCAATATGATATCACCATCAGTAGGATCCCCAAGAAGTGCATCTTTGACCTGCATCGGGCCTCTAAAATCCTATCTTGGCAAAAGGATTGGCATTTCTAACCTACTGATAAGGTTGACACCTAGTCAAATAAAAAGAATCAGTAAAGTTCAGATAGAAAAACACAAGTATAGAAAAATTCTCTCACCAAATGAGCTTGAATCAATGAAGGCCTGCTGATGACATTGGTCTTGTTCTAGTGGCATGCTGGGAGGAAGAGTTTCACCTTTATCATCCAAATCCAGGAATGCTTTTTCATGAATTACCTTCTCCCCGACATTCTATCTTTTTCTCAAGGCCCCTCCTTTGAAGATAAATGAGTTTCTTCTTCTGCCTCTTGTTCTATCTCTCGTTCTCTATGATGAAGGATCTCCACCATAAGGTCAAGCAAAAACTTCATCTTTCCCAGGGAAAGGGGTTCTATGACCTCTCCAAAAGGAAGATAATGACTAAGGAAAAACACACGACTATAGCCTTTATTTTTTGCATCAATATATATAAAACCAAAACCAAAACCAAAACCAAAGGGAGTTCAATCATTTACGTTCTAAAAAAGTTCATCATTAATATCCTTTAAATCCCCTAACCCAACTTCTATACTTTTTCCATGAAATAGTATGAGATGGTGTTAACAAGCATACATCCTAATATATAAAATGTTTAAACACACACTTCCTATAGAAATCCTCAGAAGAACTTAATAGGAAGGATATGCTGAATAGTACCTCTTCTTTAAGGGACAACCATAACGCTCGAGGAAAAAATAGATTCTATAAATCATAAAAGTAAGGCCAGGAGGGACTACTCCATATGAAGAAAAGCACAAGATGCCCCTAGGTGAATGCCAATCCTGAAGCGTTGTTGATGCATAGGAAAATTAAATTCCTCAAACAAGCCCCCAAAGTCAAGTGGATTCATTCTAGAGATATGCCTTTTTCTCACCATGAAGGTCACAAAGGGATAGAACAATTTTTATTATCTCATTCTTCTCGTAAAAATCCAATAAAAAATATTAAGAGAATCAAATAACTAAATATATGCATAAATACCTGTATAAGGAAATATCGACATACAAAAAAATTACTTAATTTTTATCTGGCTGAACCGAGCTTACTTGCAGGAGTGGCTGAACTTAGCCCATCTGTTGGAGTGGCTGAATCGAGCCGACATGTTGAAGTGGCTGAATCGATCCACCTTAAACTTTCTTCATCCCCCTCTCTCCATGCAAATCTCTTCCGGCATTATTGGGGCTTCTGCGAAGCTGTATGTACCTACAAACGGACAACACGAGACTCTACGTCCTATTCCCATTCAACACATAGAACTTTTATGTATTAATATGTTTACCACATATATTTTTATATTTATTGATATAATAACACAATTTTTAAATCATATAAAAATATTATGAGTATTAATTTATTGGGATTTTTAAATACACAGCACCCAAAACGTGCCCATCTACATTCCTCACACCAAAGTATTTACATATAAAACACCTAAAATTCTCAAATCCTTTCCTTTAGAGCACCACATAGGCCTCTGTCATTATGTGGAAGGGTCCCGCGAAAGTATGTGGATGCGTCATTTCATAAATTGATATGTGAGGCACTAAGAAAAAATATGAATTTTGTCATGAAAAATGGTCGAAAGATAAGTTTCTAGAAGTGTCACTTCATAAATAAATTTTATGTAAATTAATTTTCATAATTAGAATTAATTAACTAAAAATATATATGTTAAACAGAGAAAAATCCTTGTGATTTTATTTGTTTAAATAGAATTTTTTTAATATAACTAGTTTTTAAATCTTAATTAATAATCAATTAAAATATCATATTATGTTACTTTGATTACTGCAAATAGAATTGATATTAACATTATATCAACTAAATTACAAATGTATACTATTATATAAAAGTAAATCGATATTAAAAAGAATATTAATATAAGTAAATAAATAAAAAATTTAATTGATTTTTTTAAATTAATAATAATTTAATGAGTTTAATTAAAATTGATAAATGAAATCAAAATTATATTAAAATTGAAATTAAAAATATTAAAACTTTAAGAAATGCGGTTTTACAGAATTTAATTTACTAAATCCTAAAGTAAATTCTACTTGCAGAAGATAAACCCCGGAAATCCTCGACTGCTTTGCAAACTCGATCGCAATGGAGGCCAGCCCGTGCCCTCTGGACGCCGAATTCGCTGATCAGATAGCTGCTCTTCTTACACCCCCCTCTCCACTAGCAATCCAGGCAAACTTTTCATTTTGATCTCATCCTTCATCTTTCATCTTCTATCTAACCCTCGCGGATCCTTTTTGTTGCTCGTGATGACGACAAAGTATCTCTACTCATGCTTCCGAGTGTTTTTGGGCGTTATACTGCATAGAAGTCCTTTGTCTCTTTTATCAAACCCCGTTTGAATATCTGATTCTTCTATAGGAAGAATCTATTTTCTTCCTATTCTTGAATAGCATTCAGAGCGCTTCTCCAGAAAGTGCATTTGATTGTGAATGGGACAGCTGCATGCTATCTTGTTCATTGAGGTTTCACTGGTAGGAAACTGTTTCAATTCAATCTCAAGATCAACTATAAAGATGCTGATTTCTAATTTTATATTATGGGACCACGAAGCACTTGATTTAGTGGTATGGCCTTTTTTCTATTCTGTAGACGCCTAAGGTTTTAACCCTCGCATTAAAAAAGAAAAAAACCATTTAATGGAAATAATCCGTTTTTGAATGTGTCTTTTTGAGGCAAGGCTACATGATTGAAGATTATATAAGCTTGTGTTTTTTTTTTTTTTTTTTTTTTTTTGGGAAATTTTTTTTTTTTTTTTGAGGAAAGAGTCGCGATCAGTTTGGTTTTATGCTGGACAAGTCTACAAAGGAAGCTATACATTTATTGAGAGGTTTGATGGAGAGAATAAAGTTCTAAGTAAAGTTCTTTAGAGAGTTATAGAAAAGAAAGATGTTGATATGACTTATATTCAAGTCATTAAAGATATGTATACTAGAGTTGTTACTTGTGTTCAAACAGAAGGAGGATTAACTAAGTATATTTCTATTTCAGTTGGATTACATTAGAGATCGGCTTTAAGTCCGTATCTTTTTGCTTTCGTCATGGAGGCTCTTAGTAGACATTTACAGGATGATGTACCTCGGTGTAGGCTTTTCGCTGATGATATTCTTATTGCAGATAAGACTAAAGAAAGAATTCAGGAAAAAAATGAATTATCGAGGTCTACATTAGAGTAAAGACCTTCATTTGTGTAGATCTAAAACTAAATACATGGAATGTAATTTTAATAGCAGTAGATCTGGTGGCAAAGTCATAACTATGGGTGATCAAATCATTAAAAGGTGTGAACATTTTATATATCACGGATCTATTGTTCAAAGTGTTGGTTATATAGATGGGGATGCTATTAGTAGAATTCAAGTTGGTTGGTTGAAGTGGATGAATGCATCAGACTTATTGTGTGATAGAAAAGTGCCTCTTAAGCTTGAAGGAATTTTTTTAAGTTGGTGAAGAGATATAAAATGTTTTTTGGTGCTGAATGTTGGCCTTTAAAAGAGAAGCATAAAACAAAGTTAAGTGTTGCTAAGATGAGAATGGTTAGGTGGATGAGTGACTTGACACTTAGAGATAAAATTTGAACGAATATATCCGTGAAAAGGTTGATCTAGCTCCAGTGGTAGACAATATTAGAGAGAGTCGTCTTAGAAGATGGTTTGGTCACATTAAACTTCGACCATCTGATGATTCAATTAGAAGAGTACATGTTTTAGATTCGTCTTATGTTTAAGAAAGATAGAGGCTGGCCAAAAAAGACTTGGGTCACATTGTATAAAAAATGATCTTAGTTTATTAGATTTAAATGAAAAAATGATACTCAATAGGACATAAATGGAGATAAGGATTCATATAGCCAACCAAACTTAGTGGGATAAAGGCTCGTTGTTGGTGTTGTTGTTGTTGTTGTGAGGAAAGAGTCACTATCCCTTCTCCTTTGTCATTAGCATTAAGAATTATTCCTTCCTCTGTTAAACCCTTGAAGGCCCAGTTGTTGGGCAAGCTAACCTCAACATCTAGACTATTTTTCTGTAGCCACTGGAAACAGTATGTTGTTGCATAATTTAGTGTCGCTATATTTATAAACTTAAAAATAACCCCTTGATTTGTTCATGTTCTACAAATATTCCTTGTTGAACTTCTGTATTAGTGTCATGGTTGCATTTTATTGTGGTCTTAACCAGCGATATTTGTAATATTAAACTATTATCTCTGATAGTGCTAGCTGTCATTCTTTTTTTTATGATATTTTCTTTTTTGTTGAAAGTGTGGAACTTGACAGTTCATTTTTTTATTTTCGTTAATTTTGATAATTATTTCATCTTTCTTTAAAACCATGAAGTCCTTGTTGTTTGGCATGCTAACTTCAACGCCTTGGCTGTATATTATCTCCATTTATAATATCATGTAATTGTAGTTTACAATATCCATTCATGATTTTGTGCACATGCCTACATATAGAAACTTGAAAATCACCATTAGCCTTTGTAAGATTCTACAAATTTCATCTGTTGAGATATTATACTAGTGCAATGTTGCATTTTATTCTTAGACATATTGCAGTCTGCAGCCATATTTATCGTATTTAGCTGTTGTTTATGGTATTATTAGCTGATGTACTTTTTTAGTTTAATTTCGTTGAATTTTGCTTACTCCTATTTTGCTAGCCTTTGAGACTATATATTTTTTCCTAGTTTTTTTTATACCTTGTATTTTTAAGTGTTACCTATTGCAATTATTTGTTTCCATGTTGAAAAGCAGCGTTTTATGATAGACTAAATTTTTTTGTTCTTCTAAATGAAGAAGCAATAGAAAAAGGGCTTGTATTATTTTTTGGGAAATTTACAAACACACCACAAAATTCTTATGCATTTACATATCTAACACCCGAAGTTTGCTATTTACATTTATAACACCTTGATGTCATAAGCCTATTCATGAAAAATGTGCATTTCACTTTTAAAAAGGTAGTAATGGTGGCATTTTTGATGTGATGTTAAAGAATCGAGTGGTATGCATGTAAATATGAATGTTTAGGTGTTAGGTATGTGAATGTATAAGAATTTTGTGGTATGTATGTAAATGCCGCATTTTTTTTTATATAAAATGTTATGGATATAGCAAGCTATTCTTTCGTGTTGCGGTTCTCAGCATGCTTTTTTTTTATGCACTTCAGGAATATTACGATGAGCTCAAACAGAAAGGAAAATGCAATGCTGTCAGAATAGAAACCAGCAAGGTGCATGGTAAAGGTATTTGTTATAGCTACTAATATTTTTTCCACTCTATATAATTACCAAGGTTATACTCTACTGAATTTTTTATATGTGTTTATGAAAGTCAAATATAAATAAAATCCATTTATGTATATATTTTCCCATCTCCTTTATATGCATTCATGCATGTTCTCAGGGGCTTGCCTTTATGATACATATTTTCATATTCGGAAAGAAATAAGTTTTTCTAATTTCTCAATGGCTTGTTTTATTTTATTTTTTTGATCAAGCTAGACGCTATATATGTTAAAAAAAACTAATGTAAAACTTTATTTGATTATTCTTTTTTGCTTCTAACTAGAGCTGTAATCGAGCCGAGTATATCATAGTTCAGTCTTGGCTTGGTATAATTATAAGTTATTCATGTTCGGCTTGAGCTTGTGTCGAACATTCATATGTTGTTCAAGCTTGACTTGTTTAAAATTTTCAATCTTTGAACTTGATTTGTATTTGATTTGTTTATGACTTTGATTTGTTTATGACATGACAAGTGAACGATTATTTAAATAAGCTAATAAAAGCGCTCAAACAAATATCTTGATTTTCATTTTAAAATATCAACGAGTAATTTTATAAATGTGTTCGCATCTATTAAATGAAATGTAACTCATGAATCATAATTATATGGGATGTAGTCTTTCATATTTTAGAATGATAATACTTTAAAGTGTGCATTGAACTCCAACAATCAGATGTAGGTGTTGGTTTTCTCATAGTGATATGACTAGTCCTTTTCCTAGCTTTTTTGGATAATTTTGTAGATGTCTTTTATATTAAGTTGTTACACTATTCTTATTTTTAATCATATTTAACTTATAATGATTGCATTGCACTTTCTCAACACCGTTTTTTAATCGGGAAGGACTTATGTGCAGAGTGGAAAGGGGAGATATACGAGAGATTAGAGTTTCAGAGATCCTTGCACATTGCAATCTCATTGTTGCCTACAATGTTTGCACTCCCCAGCAATTCAGGATTTTGTATGTTTCAGGAGATAGTGATATGACGTGAAATTGTGAGTGGATCGAGGGAAAGTGAGATTTGTGGGGGTTTAAAATTAATTTTAAACTGTATTTCATACATACCACATGAGTTATGTATTTTCACGTCTAACACCTAAACTTTATTAAAATAGATATATAATATATAATTAATAATTAATCAAAAAATAATATTGATATAATAATATATTACTATTAAATCTATAATTAAATAAATTCTAGTTAATTAAATTTTATTTAAATAAAATATCAAATATTATAGGAGTTATAATCAAACTTAATATCTAGTATTTAACATACTTATTGAACAACAAATAAGTTTGTTCATGAACATGAATGAACAAGTTCGACTATGTTTATGTTTAGTTTATTTAAGTTCCGAGCTTTTAAAAATTGTTCAAGCTTGTTTATTTAGTAATTTGAACGAACATGATCGAGTTTTAATCAAGCCGAGTTCGAGTTGTTGATTGAGTGCATTGGTTCATTTATAACCCTACTTCTAACTGGACCAACAATTTCCCATTTTTGTTAAAATTTGTGCTTTACTAGCTTTCAACCAAGTTTCTTTCAAATATTAAACTTTTTAGATTAGATATGCAAATTGCCATATATATTTTCACTAAAATTGTATCGGTTAAGAAACAAAATAGAGTAGAGCTCTTGGATTATGAAATTTAAATAAAGAGGACAAGTGTGGTATCACCTTTTATATTATTAATAGATTAAGCCACAAGCCGATGCACCCGTGTAGCCAGACTGACCTAGTCTGGCAAGTTGGTAGGCTTGGTTATTGGATTTGACTATCTAATTAAATCGACTATATTTGATTTCCTTTCATGGTTAGGTTTAGGTAGGATAGTCTCTGTGGCTTGAATGTTGTTGCATGAAATTACTGTTTTAGTTTGGCCTGACCTAAATAGAAATTCTAATTTGAGTGAACGAGGTCACTTGATTGTGTGGTTGGATTTGGATTTGGAGTTTCAGAGAATTTGCTCATTTGAATTTTCTACCCCAAACCAAGTAGCCCCACCTATTGCGCCTCTAATCATTAATATATAAAATCAATCTGTAATTTAGTTTCGCAAGTATATACATCCAACATATGGCTATTACCATAATTTGTAACTTTTGATGAAATTTTGTGCTTCAGTAACATAATAGAAACTTTAAATATATGGTGGATAAGGACTTTGGAGGAGCGACCTAAAGATAAATCTGTAAAAAAATATATATAAATGAAGGAAAGCACTTCACACTATCAGATTGAAAAAATACGGAAGGGCATAACATATTTAGTTGGTAGTTGTCTTTGATAATATGATATTTTGTCTTCTTCAATTAAATAACCTTTTTTGTTGAGCTTTTAATGTAGATTGAAAAAGAAACAAAGTCAATGCTTAATTATTTCTGCATAGTTCTATCTTGTTTATGCTTAAATTATATAATTAGCATTGTTTTTATTATTATATGAATGCAGTGACGCATCACAAATGTTTTACAGTTCTCAAAAACTTTTAGAGATGGCTTGTTAAATCATTTGTTGATATTGTGTTCTCCCTTGTTTCAGATTTCCTTAAAAACTACATTTCTACTATTCATTTGTTGTAGAATCTGTTAACATATGGCTTCAGAAATCTTTGGCCGTTAACTTTTGACAACTATTTTGCATGTTTTTCACTGAAATAAAAATGTTATTCTGAATAAGTGGCTTATCAATCCGATTACTTCTGATTAATATTGTCAAAGCTATCAACCGCATATGTTGAATATGATGCACATTTTTGTGGTAATTGCATATAATGATCACTATTCATTGGATGGGAAAATCCATTGTAATATGCCCATACCCGATTGCTCGCTTTTTCTCTGCTTCTTGATACATCTTTACTGAATTGGTGGGGGACCTTTTTTATGGCTTACCCACATGCTGTAACCTAGTCTTTTAAGCAGTCCCCTTTTCCTGCTAGTAACAATACTGAAACTAAAACTGTTTTATATTTACGATTTCAGGTGTCTTTTCAAACATGGAATTTAAGGAAGGGGAGCTTATATTGAAGGATCAAATACTTGTAGCTGCTCAGCATAGTTCTAACAAGGTCTTTTTCATGGTTGAGCAGTCTTAAATATCTCTGCTATCAAATATTCGGGTTTTCTCCTGAATAAAATGATTAAACTATTTAAGAAATTTATGTGCCATTCTTTTTTCTTAAATTGACTTGTGTCTATTCTTTTTCAGCCTAGCAGTTTTGGAAGTTTGTCGTTGCTTGAGCTTGTCTTTCCTCTCATTTTACAGGTTGATTGTTTTGTATGTAGCTCTTGTTTTCGGTTCGTCGGTTCAGTTGAACTTCAGATTGGTCGAAAACTCTATTTGCAAAGTTTGGGGTTGTCAGTTAAAAAGGAGTGCGATCACCAGATATTTTTTAAAGATGCAGTAGCATCATGTTCATTGGAATCTCAAAATGAAGATGATTTACTTCTTCAGGAAAATAGCGATAATGCTGGGCAAAGTTCTTGTAGTGAAAACTCTCCCTCGAAGGAGGTTTTGGAGTTGCTAATGAATGGCAAACTGTCTTTACCTTTCTCAGAACAATTTTTGTTACCTCCTATTGTTCCATGTCCTGGTGGTTGTGAAGAAGAGCATTATTGCAGGCAAGAAAGCTTGTTTTTAAAAATAGAAAACTTTCCGGGGCTAGATTCATGTTTTCTTTTCATGAAATTATGCACTTTGTTTATTAAAAACTTTCAAGATGTGTTTGATTGAATTTGAGAAATAGTGCAAATCTATTCTTGCGGAAGCCCACTTGAAAATAGTTGCCTTTCATTTATTATCATATACTTGAGTAGTATTGACTGATAAATTTGCCAATGCTTTGCAGCAAAGTATGTGCTGATTCGGACTGGGAGTCCATTCATTCTTTACTATGCACTGGGAAGAGCTCGGGCTCCTTGTGGCAGGCAGCAGCTGTTAAATTTACTGAACATGCAAACAGTAAGTTTATTGCAAGAAATATTGTTGTATATTTATTATGATTTGGTATGGCATTTTAAAGGCATCATAGTTCATCATTTCATGAATTAGATAATCGATTGCATCAGTTGCTTAAAATAAATGCAATGGAGACAACTTAGATGCATTCCTATTATGTGATTTTTATTAGTTTATATGAAAATTATTATTTTGTGGAGCCAGGTGTTGCTATCTATTTTTTTTTATATTAAATATCTTTTGGTTTTTGTTCAGGAACAAATGACATCTTCATACTAGCTGCGAAGGTATGCTTTAACCTTTTCTTTTTTTTATTGTCATGATGGTTGTAAATTCACGAGCACATATGTATTTATGCTCGCTTATATTTTTTATCTTCATCACCCTCTATTATTTTCTATTTGATAAACATGTAGTAACTGTTAAAATAAATAAATACATAACAATTTTGAATTGCGATGATCGTACAAATGTAACTGCAAAGGTGGTTCTGTCATTATGATACAAGTGTCCTCATTCGAAGCATATGAATCAGAATAGAAAACAAGAGAAGGAGATGACATCGTGTGTATGCAAGAAGTTAACTACGTATAGGAGGCACACAGTTTAGGGCTAAGGACGACGCTGTTATTCATGGTAGGTTTGTGCGTGTCTGTCAATGTCGAAGCAGTGCATGAGACATTTACAGGAGACAAACACGATTGAGCCCTATGGGTGTGCTTGCATGCGGATGAACCTCTGTGCACCAACTAAGAAGAGGAAGGAAGATAGGTGTGCGGGCAGAAGGAGAGTGAGCAGGTTGTTGTTGGTAATGGAAGAAGGGAAGAAGGTTTACTTGCTAAAACTGTTGAACTGCTGACGCGAAGACCTAGCATTCAGGAAGGGAAGGGAGACTAGCATGCATTGTTGTCCTAGCTTGTCGAGGGTTTGGAGGCGATCAACGTGTTGCCACATGCATCCTGTGCAAAGGAAGAGTTTCACATGGGTGACCTAGTCTGTGTGAGCCAAGAAGGATGGGAGAAAGCCTTGCGTGCGGAGGGAGCTCTGTGTGAGGGAAAGGGGAAGAACTGAGTGACTTCGTCCGGGAGGAGGCAGCTTGGAGCATATAAGTAAAGGCAAGTGTTGGTTATTTTATTTATATAAGTTAAATTAATGCTATTAGGTATCAGTACCAAATAAGGATTTTTCTAATTGTAGTTAAAAAATATTTTAGGAATATTCAAATTTTGAGCACGGGAGTAGATCACTGATGTGACGTGAATTTATGTAATTTATTGGGCGTTAAATACCATTAGACTGAGATGATGATAGGAGGGAATTTGTTTGTAGGAGGAGAAAAAATTTTGATGATATGAAGCAGGCTGTTTGTTTCTATGTTTTTACACTTCTATGGTCTTATTTGTTTTACCGTAACAGACTTGATGATCTTATATGTTTTATTAGAGGATGCTTACTTGTATATAAATGACTAGTGACTCTTTTGTATGTTTTGTGGACTAGTGATTCTCTTATAATTGAATCTTATTGTGAACTAATGTTGGTGTTTAGAAATTTTTTTTAATATCGTTTGATTGTTCGTTCCCATCTGATTTTCTGATTTCCAGGCCTAGTCGTGACAAACAATGCCTTAATATTGTTTTTCTCTGTCCTTTTTTGATGGCCTGAAAGATTGTCAATGAGAAGTCTAGTTTACTTTGGATGATTGAATTCTGCTCATGCTATTCAGTGAATGTGTAGCATCATTGAAGGCTAATTATATAATGACACGTAATATAACCTTTATTGCTTTATGATGTACGGTTGACCTTTGTTGGCAGTCTAGGATTTATGAATATTGCCTTTTGCTTGTACGCTGATTTCTGTATTTATGCCATCATGTAATGTTCAGCTTTTAAATGTACAGCCCTTTTTGGCATGTGTTCATTGTCTTATGATTCTGAATACTCAGCTAGATCAATTGCTAGTTGATGGCATTCAGATAAATAATATAAAAAGTTTCAAAGATAAATATCATTAATCTGCACTGAATTGTTTAAAATTTATACTGTTTTAGTATTGCCTGAAATATAAGGATAAAGAAAATACTAAAATAGAACATAAATTTTTTGGCCACAAATATTGATTCAAAATGTAGCTTCTATAAAAATAGTTGTGTGGAAGTTGACATAAAGATTTAAATTTGTTAGATAAAATCGAAGATCATGAATTTATTGTTTGAAGGATTTAATGGTTTAGGCTGATTAAATTGCTGCCCGATGTAGCTTGTTGACGGACTTCTTGGGCACTCCTAGCAAGCACGGATTTGTATGCAAAGTTATGTAGTGTTATTTGCGATTATTCAGGTGCTGTGTTCTGATATATATATGTGCTGGTATTGCTATGTTCTCCACGAGTCAATTTTTGTGATTAAAAATTTTTTGTTTCAATAAACGGTTCCTTCCTTTTCTCATGCATGTTTTGCTGGGTAGGACGGTTTTTGTCATTAAAACTGCCATTAAGCATTTCTTCTAAGTTGCCATGTCTCATGAAATTCAATCTATGTTCTATCAAAAACCAGTATGAAACTTATCAAGCACATATCTAGGACATTAATCTTGTATTTTTTATCCAAACTGTTGATATTTTCTTTTATTAGTGAATATATAACTATGAAAATAACCAATTTAAAAGACATTTCCCTCTTTTTGGAGATTTATTACTCAAAAGAATTAAAGAAAACTCCGTCAGTACTGAGGAAGATTATATAAATAGTAGAGGTTTGGAAAGATAAATAATTGGAATATAGTTTGGTAGTAGTGGAAGATAGTTGAAAGATAAAATTATTGAGGTGAATAGGTTTAGCCATTGGATGATTTATATTAGGGGTTTTTACGGACATAGTACTCAAAACATCAGAATCATATATCGCACCCAAATTTATACATTGACATATAAATCACCTAAACTCAATAAATGTACACAGAAATGACACTTCATTACCTTCTCAGCTTGGAATAGCACGGGAAGACGCCTCGTGACAACCTGGAGTCAAGCCAATCCTCTTGGCGTATATTTTTCCATTCAGCACAAAAATTGTCAATGAAGTGAAAGAAGAAGCAAAGCGGAGCAGAGTTGCCACTGTTGATCAGTGCCATGCATTCAGGGGAGCAAGTGCCATCACCGGAGGCGGATTGGAGGAGCATCTCAAAGGTCAGGTGAATGCTTGTAGGGAGGAAGCTACCACAAAGAACCTAAGATTCAAAATACCCCGAAGGAAGAAGATTCCTCCATTATCGGCCATCATCATCTTAAACTACTCAAATTTAACCATCCCATCTCCATCCAAACTAACCTACTAATCATATCACAGTAGGCCTCACTGCAATCTCCTTGTTAGAGCTCAAGTGATTTCGGAATCAGGTTGAGCTCCTCTGCAGTGATTAGGCCCTCATCGTTCCCGTTGAACACGCCAAACTCAAGTGATTTCGGAATCAGGTTGAGCTCCTCTGCAGTGATTAGGCCCTCATTGTTCCCGTTGAACGCGCCAAACTCTTCTCTGAGCTCGCCATCCTTCTATTCTTCAGCCCCAATTTCTGATCCAAAGGTGGTGCATAGCTCTCTAAACTCTTCTAGGTCGATAAGGCCATCGCCGTTGCCATCCACCCTTTCCATTAAGCTCATCAAATCTCTGTTGGTGGCGTGATGCCCATGATGCGGAGCTTGCTGGGTGGTCAGTTGAACCGGCCGACCTTCATGGGGGCTAGAATTGCCCCCCCTTCCCTTTCCCAATTTCCTATTCTACTCCATTCCATAGAGAGAACTCCTTCCTCTTCTATTCCTTTTTATTTTTAATCCTTTCCAATTTCTAGTGATTTCCTATTTCTTTTTCATTTTTTATGTCTCTTCTTTGCTCATTTCTCCTCCTTTCTTATTTCTATTACTTCTATTCCTAGCCTTTTCTATTTTTTCCTATTCTACTACTTGTACCTATTATATATATATATATATATATATA